AGAAAGGACATATCGATCATGAAAAACCCCACCATGATTAAGGTCACGGAGGCTGGGTGGTCGCTTGCTTTGGAACATCCTTAAGGATGGGCAAGTGCTCGATCATGAAAAACCCCGCCATGATTAAGACCGTGGAGGCTGGGTGGTCGCTTGCTTTGGAACATCCTTGAGGATGGGCAAGTGCTCGATCAAAAACTCCCCCATGATTAAGGCCGCTGACGCTGGGTGGTCACTTGCTTTGGAACATCCTTAAGGATGGGCAAGTGCTCGATCAAAAACCCCATCATGATTAAGGCGCTGAGGCTGGGTGGTCACCTGCTTTGGAACATCCTTAAGGATGGGCAAGTGCTCGATCAAAAACCCACCATGATTAAAGTCATTGGGGCTGGGTGGTCACTTGCTCTAGAATATTCTTAAGGCTTGGTGGCTGAGGATATCTCTAACGTCCTTAAGAAAGAGATATGCGCTCAATCATAAAGACAAAGATGAGGCATTCGCAGGCTAAGCACAGGTAGTTAACACGGCTATTTTATAGAATGAGCGACCTCAAGCATTTCATGCACAAGGAACCAGCATGACGTGAGTGAATATATAAATAAGAAAGAAGACACGCAGAAATCCACATCATAATCACTGAAAACAGTTGATAGAAAATAGATATTGTCAATTACATATCCGCAGAACATTAATATTACAAAAGCTTTAAGGGGTATTATTTTTAGCCCGATCTTCATTGGAGGCTGCTTGCTGGACTCAGCTTGGTCGGTTTTTGTGCAAGGAAGAGGAACGAGGGGATGCGCCTTGGTCGACTCAGACAGAGCTTTGGACAAAGACACAGGAGGCACACCGGGTTGAGAAAGCTCGAAGACTTTCTTTATCTGGTCGTGGCTAGCCAATGCCCTTTCCAGAGTGTTCTTCCACCAGGGCTGGTCGACGGGTAAACTTGGATCGCCAGTAAAGACGATAGGTACTATTGGCATTTCCTCCCATATCTTTGCCACATCGAGGCACTTGAAATCATCCTCGGCACTCTGCTCAGATGCCTTGGTCATCGCAAAACCAAAGTATTCGCTACCAAGCACTTGAACTTCAGAGAGGCACTGTGTTGATTTTTTAAAATTGGCCATGGTTCCGATAAGATACTAGGAATTGCTGACCAACTATGGTATGCTATAGTACCTGACAAGCACGAGCACCAGCAGCTTGGCCGATCTCGCTCTGAAAATCTCTTTCTTCCTCGACCTGAGCTTTCAAGGCCTCATTCTCCTCCTCGAATATTTTGATTTTTTCATGAGTAGCTCGATTATCTTCGACCTGAGCTTTCAAGGCCTCATTCTCCTCTGCCAGCACTCGGTTCTTACCCTCAAGTTCTCGCAAAGGGACCAGCTCAGCGAGACACTTCGTTCGCTGTGTTGTAGCGTGCTCGAGAGATCCCTGAACTAGCTCAAGCTGCTTCTCGAGGGCTTGGATCGACCGACTGGACCCACTTTGAGAAGTGACATGAGAAAGCAGGGGCGCTAGATGCACAAAACCCTATATCAAACCACATAAGAGAAGAAGTGTTAATACAGAAGATACACACTGTAAATATGTTAGAAAAACAAATAATAAACGATAAGTTCTAGACCTGAGCAAGCCAGTCGACCAGTACTGGGCCACAGGTGGCGAGGGTAATGTCGTTGACTTTAAAGTCTGTGGTCTACAACAGCCCTTGAAGGAAGGATGACACAGAAGTACTAGCCGCAGATAAAAAAGGAAGAGGCTCGTTAGAACGCTAACGCTTAGAAGCACGATCTTCCTCTGAGACAAGTGGACGCTTCTCCGTTAAGGCCTCAAAGATCGTCTCCTACTCAACCAGTGGATTAGTCGAGCAGGAAGGGTTGTTAGTGGGATTAGGTCGTCGTGAGGAAGGGATGTTGATGTTTTGGTCGACTTTCTGATCAGAAGAGTCGATCAGATGAGTCTCGGTGATAGGCGGAGAGGTAGGTTGTGCTTACATAGCGATCGACGACAATGTTAGCAGGAGTAGAGAAAACCTCGGCAAGTTGTGGTACCTCGCATTGAGGAGAAGGCTCATGAATAGCTGCAGCATTCGCATAGGTGGATGGAGTTGAGGAACCAACTGCTAGATCAGCGGTCTTCGCCGTTTTCTTTCGAGGAGCTCTCCTCTTGACCACAGGGACGGATGGCATCTCTACAAAAATAGATGCAAGGATAAACGTCAGCATAAGATAATATAGTACTAAGTACGAAAATGTGAATGACTCAAACACATTATACCATGATCTTCAGGTATTCTGATTGACTCTATGACGTCGATAGTAGGAGGAGGCAGAGACGTATGGGTAAGAATGCCACAATAGTGGAGGAGACAATCATTTTTCAAAATTATGTTCGAGGCAATAGGTTTTGAATTCCAGACATGTATTTATTGATCGAACAGAGGGTCATGGGGAGGAGTCACAATTTCACGAGGCACTTCCGTTACCCACGGCAATGGGGTCCAAGGCCAAACAGAATTAGGTTGCACAAAGGTGAAAGTATCCTTCCGCCTAGGGCAATTGGATGGTCGATCAGAGATGAAAGCTACACCATTCCTCCCTTTCAAATATATACCGGCTGGCCCTTTTGAGGGTAGGTAGCAATAAGAGAAGAAGTTAAGGTCGAGCCGACCCAGACGAATGCGAGAGAGGATGATGTATGAGATAAGGATGCGAACAGCATTAGGAGGTAATTGATCCAAAGGTAGCTCAAACTAAGAACAAAGGGACAAAAGGTCTGGGCATAGGGAAAATCTCACCCCCATATCAAGGTGGATCTTGAACAAAGTATAATACCCCATAGGAGGTTTGAGGGCATCATCGTCAGGGTTTGGTAGAAGAAAGGTACCAGGATGGCCATACTTGTCATGGTTCATCCATTTAAGGGTATGAGTACGGGAGCGAGAATCTTTCAGTTGAGAAGTGGAGATATGAGCAGGTGTGATCGAGGTGGACGATGGTCGATTAGACACAAGATTGGATCGAGAAAGAGGAATTAAGGTGCTAAAAGGTATGTCATCCTCATCTTCCTCGCTATCCTAGGCGATATCCATCTCCCCTATGGATGGCCGACGACGAAGTCGGGGATTCTCTGTTGAGGGCAACGGTAAAAGGAAGGCCTCAGGCCCGAGAGCAGCCGGTCGGAGAACGCTCAGAGGAGTAACATTTAGAGCAGGCGGAAGAGTCGTATCTATGTCGGCGCCAACATTCCCATCGGAATTAGAAGGATCTGAAGAAAATCGGAGGAGATATACGATTAAGTATACACTCGTATGCAGGAAAAATTTGGCCCGGCAGAAAAGAAAAAATTAGGGAGAAGGAGTCGGGAAAAATTGGGGAAAAAAACATTTAAGATTGGCATATAAGGAAAAAGTAGAAACTTACTCATTGTCGTAGTTGATGGAATTGAACAAGACGAAATCCAGAAATCACCGGGGAGGTCTCGCACAGGTAACGCAAACAATGCAAGTTGCAAAAAACACCAGTAGAAATTTAATTTGCAGTCGGCGAAAGAGTGAAAGGAAGAGAAAGAAAGGGTTTTATAAGAGAATGTGAGTAAGGCGAAGGGTTGACGTCGATCCAAACCGTTGAATTAAAGTAAATCTTGCGGTCAAGGTAGGCGCGTGGACGCCGTAAGCGAGATGAATGATGTAGCCTAGGAAAAAGTGTCGTATCATGTGAAGATCCATCATTAGGAGAGAGAAATAAACGAGATTTGTCTCCAAAAATTCAAATTCAAATCTCTGGTAAAAAAGAGGGGTGCAATATAAAGAAAATTATGAGTGAGGTAGAAGAGGCAGGAAATAATTCCCATGTAGCCAAGACGAACATGGCCTACTCTTGATCGAGTTGTGTTAACTCAATCAGAGTAGGGGGACTAGATGATGTAGGATATTATATTCACGGTTCTTAGGTCAACATATTAACCCGGTTGGGACGCATGGTGATGTAGGATATTATATTCACGATTCCTAGGTCAACATATTAACCCGGTTGGGACGCGTGGCATAATGGTCGAGCAGGTAGATCGATCGATCTCCTAGCATGATTGAGAAAATACTACGAGGAGATAATGGGAATTAAACTAAATCAAAGAGTGGTGTGTAACTGTCCCTGACATATCGGAGACGTGGCCCAAGCGGTTAGGTGGTAAATTCTCTGTCCATAGATAAAAGGAAAGGAGGTATGCAAGGGGGGTAAGAGGAATTTTTCATAATAATTCTCTAAGAATACTTTCTGATACCATCCAAATAACTGACTTAAGCATTGGAGGGCCGAGCCGGAGACCTTTCCTCTCTGGTCTAGGCTTTTTTGCAGGTGCTCGGAACAATTAATCGGTGAGAAAGACAGGATCCTAAGGAGTTTAGCCAGTTAAGGTATAAACCGGCTATTCAATGGTCGAGCAGGATCCTAAGGAGTTTAGCCGGCTATTTTCATACCACAATCAATGGGCGGAAAATAACTGATATATTCAATTTTCTGTGGGGCAATTGAAATGTTTAAATTATTTAGAGACATGATATATTTTAATAACTCTCTGTAACTATTTAGATATTATATTTTCTTGACTAATTAACACTTAACTGAATACAACTATCGTGTTCACCATCGATGCACAAGGTCAAGTCGTGTTTGGTATCTTTTCTGCATAAAATAGTTCAACATTTGTTTGACTATGTTTCGCATAACACGCAAAAAAAAAAAAAAAAAAAAAAAAAAAAAAAAAAAAAAAAAAAAGAAAAAAAAAAAGAATTTTGGCATTCTAAAGCATAATTACTAAAACATCGTCCACTCCTTCAAGATCCACTCCAAGTTTTTCTTCTTTTGACAAATCCAAAAGAAAAACGAAAAATGACCCTAATATAGATTATCTCACCATCCAAGACAAAACGGATGATTCATGTGTATGTATACAAACATAGATTTTCCGTAAAAAAATCCTTCATTCCGAACAGTTGATTAAAAGTTCTTCCCCAGTTCAACCTTTTTCATAAGCCTAAAAGTATTGTGCAGAATCGCGTCTAGTATCCCAGCAACCTGAAAACCATAAATACATTAAAAATTTAGTGTTGGCTAAATAAATATAAGAGAATCAAAGAGAGATATCCTGAGGTGAACGAACACCTACCGTGAAAACCCCACCAATAATCGCACAGACGTTTGTAATGAAGTGTGAAAAAGATTTAGAGTTCTCAGTTATTAAGACCTGAAGGAGAAATAAAACATTATAATAAACTGGGGGAAAAAATTTGACGACCTTTAATAAGAATTGAGAAAGTACCTGCATTGGCGATAGCTCGAAATGAAATTTCGCGACAGGTATATGGATACTGTGAACCAAACTACTGTGGGCCGTGTACTCGTACTCCTCCACTAATTTGTAAGATCTAGTCATCACTTCAGTTTTCACAACTTGAAGATAATGCTCAACCTGGACATGTCCAAATAAATCATCCAATAAAGAAGTTATTTATAAATAAACTTTGACTGAGTTTAGAATATTTTCTCAAAAATTGCCACATAAAACTTAATGATACAACAAGGAGCTTGTTTCCCGAAAACAAACATGGAAAAAGGATTTTATTGGATTGCGTTATTTGTAAGCCATTCTTGAACATGAACAGGCGGTAGAAAATGACGAGTAAAAATATAGTAACTTACGGTAACATTTGCATCAGAATCACTTGGGTTGCTGATATACGACTGGCCAGTCAAACGGTCATGGCTCCCACCAAGATATGGCAGCACGCGCTTCATGTCACTCATTTCCCTTGGGGTGATCTTTTTGCCGAAAGAGAAATGGGAAATAATATGCGACATGTTCATCTGAGTCGGGTCGAATGAATGAGAAGCTGAACGAGCAGACACGATGAGATTCCCAGGGACCTGCATAGTGCATACCAATTACCACAAGAGCAAATTAAATACCCTATACACAAACCCTTTATGAATGCAAATACAAATATTAATCATGAAGTAACTTTTATCCACAAAATTTCTGAATGATGTAATATTTTTTACCTTCTTCACGCGTACAAAACCCTCAATTTTACATCCTCCAGATGAAGGTGCAGGCCGTTTAGCGTCATCTTTCTTTTCAGTGGACGGACTATCTGAACCCTTTTGAGCCAGCAAAGATATTGATGCCACCAATTCCTCCATTGTCTACAAAGATCAAAGTTTTGTTAATTTCTTACAAAAAGTAGGTTCAGCGGTTATACTAATCAATCTACACATCCAATTGACATGAAAAGCATTGGGTGTAGCAGAATAAAAATTGATATATCTCATTTTATAATTTTGCAAGCCTCCACCGAAGTCTTACTCCATCTGTGTGAAACTCTCACCTTAACTAGGGTCTCTGTATCACGATCTCCATAATATGACTCATGTTCATGATGGCCATGATCCTCTCTGTGTTCAGAAAAAAAAAAAATAAAAAAAAATAAAATAAACTAAAATAAGAAATAGTCAATGGAATAGCAGGAATTAAAATGACAAAAGATTTATCTATAATCTATCTATCTATCTATAACTACCTTAAAAGGATGAGTCATTTTTTGAAAAATTTGAAATGCCCATATTACCCTCTAGAGATTTACCTTTTAAAGATTTACCTTTTAAGTACATAAATGTATATTATAACTTCATTACTATCTCATCCAACCACATGTAAATAAAATCTAAAATGTCACTACTACCCTCAAAATGTTATATTATGTTACTTCCAAAAAGTTATATTATGTCTTATTCTAAATACATTTACTGCTTATAATGTAAACAATTAAAATTATTTCAAATAACAATTTAAATTTTAATTAGAATAATTGAAATATTAAAACACGAGTTAATATGACGTTTCAAATAAAATGTTCTAAATCATGAATAAGATGACATAGTACTCAATTTTTTCTTATAATATTCCTTGTGTATTTTATAATTATTTTATTTTTTAAAAATTATTAATCTATTAAAAAAATTGATTGGTATCCAAATTTTTAAATGAATGTATTGGCGCAACTACATAACTAAGATTTTGCATGTACAAATATTAAAAATTCTTGTAATGCAAAGTCAATAAAAAAAATTAATCCATTGATCTGACTTTTTATTGAAACCAAGCATTTATCTATGTAACTGTTTTTTTTTTCCACTGTCATAATGTATGAATCTTTTTATTCTTATTGTATTATTTTACTATTAATATTTTATTCAATTAACTTAGAGTTCTCATTGTTTTTTGTTATTTACAAAATGTTTGTATGCTATTTTTAATTTTTTTTAATATTAATGTATTAAAATGTTTGTATGTTATTTTTGTAATTAATTTTTCTTAATATTAATGTATTAAAATAATTTATGATAATATTATAACTTCATTACTATCTCATCCAACTACATGTAAATAAAATCTAAAATGTCACTACTACCCTCAAACTCAAAAGTGTTATATTATGTTACTTTCATAAAGTTATATTATGTCTTATTCTAAATATTAACTGCTTATAATATAAACAATTAAAAATTGTTTCAAATAAAAATTTAACTTTTAATTAAAATAATTGGAATTTTTTTATGTTGAATAACTATTTTTGATTCAATCATTCTTAAACATATGCATGTTCACTATATTGTTTCTCTTTAATCTTTTTAATACTATAACAAAAAATATATATACTAAAATATGATATATGGAAATTAGAGATGATACTTTCATTGGTGCATATGTTTAATAGACATGCATATGTTTAATAATGATTGAATCAAAAATAATTCTTCAACATACAAAATGTAAAATTTATGTCGAGAAAAGTTATTCGCTAAGTGAAAAATATATAATTTTAATAGAAATGTTTTGCTAAATTACTCACTAAAACAATATGCATAATATGTTTTAAGTTTACACGTTATGGTATGTGTAGTATAAATGTTCTTTCTTTATGATAATATGTGTTGCATAAATTTATCTATTGTTTACTTAATTGTAATATAAATAAAATAGAGTAATTATAAATATAAAATAATATAACCAAAACTTGATTTTAAATCTTGATTTTTAAAATACGTGTAATTATTAAAAAATAGTCACAAATATTATCAATTAAATTAAAATAAATAGAACATTTACTTTAAATTTGTTACCATTATCCAATCTTATTTATAAAATCATTCATAAATTAAATGTTTCTTAGTTTTAATAGCTAGTTAGTTGTGTCTTTGTATTCGAACACAATTCGCTTTGAGTTATTATTAAAGTTACCCTGTCGTTTTGGGGGAAAAAAAAAGGAAAAAAAAAAACCACTTCTCAAAAGTAGGGAAAATAAACTATACTCCCTCATATCTTTTTTATTTGTCATTCCAGCTTAATGGACTATTAGATAAATAAATGTCATTTTGGCTATTTTGTTCATATTTTTTCAATTTTAACCCCTCCACCTAATTTCCAATGTCTCTTCATATTCTATCTCTCTCTTGATTTTCCAAAAATCTTCATTTACTTTTTACACTAATCATCATTAATTGTGTTACTTAATGGAGTAGTAGTTTTCATTAAATAGGGGTAATATTGGCAACAACAAAAATTCTTAATTAAAGTGCTAGTTGCTAGAATGACAAATAAAAAAGATAGGAGGGAGTATAAAATTTTGACAAAGATATAAAAATAATATTAAGATAATAGTAAAATATGAAAGAATCATTATTTTATTATATTCATCGTGATATGATTTAAGTTTACAATGGTATATATAGTATAAATGCTTTTTTTGTTTGTTTTTGTGATAATATGTGTTATATAAATTAATTTATAATATAAATAAAAATATAGTCGTTATAAAAATAAAATAACTAAAACTCGATTTTAAGTCTTAAATTTCAAAGTACATGTCCCTATTGGAAAATAGTTACAATTAAAATCAATTAAACATCATTAAATAGTACATTTACTTAAAATTTGTTGTCATTAGCCAATCTTATTTATAAAATCATTTATAAAGTAAATGTTTCAAGCCATTTCTCAAATGTAGGGAAAATAAACTATATACGAATATTGACAAAGACAGAAAAATAATATTAAGATGAAAGTAAAACATGAAAGCATCTTCAATTTATATCTTATTTAAAATGGAACTATTTTTTTTTACAATTAAGATAGTCTTAAAATCCGTGAACGAAAATGATAATGCATGCGTGGCAATGTTGAACATTATATATAGATGGGTGTGCTTTCAATCAACCAATGTTGAACAATATATAGATAGATTGGTAGGATGTTATTGTTTCTAATCATTTTTATGTAAATTTCATTTTTTTAAATAATTACGACTTTATATTTTTTTATCTTTTATATCATTATATCAAAAGAGAAAACATATATCTAAGTATTATGAAATATTATACTTACAAATAGTGTAGAACAAAACATTCAAACATAGTTGGTTAGCTTCTAAATCAACACTGAAAAAATGATGATCACAAATGATAGTTATATCAAATATGAGTTATTTTTCAATGAGTATCACACAAAAAGAAGGCATTAAAAAACCATATTATAAGACAATAATAATGATCATTATTTTAAGCATAATGAGGATATCATTAAGTAACAAAATCAATTAAGTAACAAAATCAAAGACAACATAGATTATTTTAACATTTAAAATTTTACAAAAAAAAAAAATATGATTAATTTCATTCTGAATTTTCCAACCCAATGATTTTTTTTTTAGTTTTATTTATAGAGTTCGTTTAATAGTACTATATATATTCATCATTCAATGCATTTATTAATGTTTACAATACAATACACCATTTTTTTTTTGGTTAAACTAATAGAACATTTAATTTATGAATGATTTTATAAATAAGAAGGGTAATGGCAACAAATATAAAGTAAATGTACGATTTTATTTTTATTTAATTGATATTAACTGTGACTATTTTCTAATAATTACACGTATTTAAAAATTCAAGATTTAAAATCAAGTCTTGCTTATTTTATTTTCATAATTAGACTAATTTTTATTTATATTACAATTAAGTAAATGATAGATTAATTTATATAATACATATCATCATTAAAAAAAAAAAAACATTTATACTATACATACCATTAACGTGTAAACTTAAATTATACTATGCATATTGTTTTAGTAGTGAGTAATTTAACAAAACATTCTATTAAAATTATATATTTTTTACTTTACGAATAACTTATTTCAGCATAAATTTTACATTTTGTATGTTGAAGAATTATTTTTCATTCAATTATTATTAAACATATGCAGGTTAACTGATTGTTCTTCTTTAATTTTTTTAATACTCTAACCAAAAATCTATATGGTAAATAATATGATATTTGGGAATTAGAGATGATACTTTCATTAGTGCGTTATATATTTTACACTAATAAAATTAAATATATTTGATTTAAATTTTAAAATAATATTTTCTCTTACTAAAATCTACCTTTAAAATAACCAAACTGAAACCTAACGTCGTATACAGAATGAATTATGTATTGAAAATCTATATATTTGCGTCGATAATATTTTTGTATGTGTAAAAACTTAAAGATACCATTAATTATGAAGATAAAAAATAATGAATTAAAGTAAATTAAGAAATGGAGGTTTAAAAACTTAATAACAAGTGTTGGTAGTTGTAACTTTCTATCATTAAATTATAAACAATTTACTATTTCTATGCTCAGAAATTCCTCAGTTATGACATAGTTAAGATGCTCGAATCACGTTCATTACCAGTAGCCAGTATATTCGGAATTTTATATCAGTATTCCCCAGTCATGTTTAGCTACTCGTCAAGAGATCTGTGTCCTTTATGGATCAGCTTCAATAAAGTCATCAGTGAAGGGATTCAAGTACGCTTTCAGAACTCTAGAAAGGGGCTAGGATTGAGAACCCTAGATTCCATTCTAGATTTATTCAGATTAAGTTAATGCCTCATTCAGTGATTTGTAAACAATTATGTTATACAAATCTTAGCAATCATGTTCCTCAGACATTTTCTATTGAAAATTGTCTGTTTTGCACATTAGTTGGCATATTCCAAGGGAGGAATTCCTTGAGTTGGACTGGGAATAAGTTCAATTTTCCTAAGTCAAGTCAGTACAGCAAGTTCAGGGCAATAAGTTTTCATATTAAAGGTTGTTAAAACTTTCAAGTTATTATCAAGTAACGATTTTTCAGTGTATAAGAGCCAAAAGTCCGGGTTACCATGGAGGCTTGAAATAAGAGCCACTAAGCCGGGTATACCATGGAGGCTTGAAGCTGGAACCGGAGCAGCACAGTTTCAGAAGTAACAACCTTTAGAGTTAGCTAACCTTTAGAGTTAACTGATTGTTCTTCTTTAATTTTTTAATACTCTAACCAAAAATCTATATGGTAAATAATATGATATTTGGGAATTAGAGATGATACTTTCATTAGTGCGTTATATATTTTACACTAATAAAATTAAATATATTTGATTTAAATTTTAAAATAATATTTTCTCTTACTAAAATCTACCTTTAAAATAACCAAACTGAAACCTAACGTCGTATACAGAATGAATTATGTATTGAAAATCTATATATTTGCGTCGATAATATTTTTGTATGTGTAAAAACTTAAAGATACCATTAATTATGAAGATAAAAAATAATGAATTAAAGTAAATTAAGAAATGGAGGTTTAAAAACTTAATAACAAGTGTTGGTAGTTGTAACTTTCTATCATTAATATAAAAGTTACATTAATAACCTTAAAGCTTATCTTTAGTGAGAGCATTTTGGCAATTCAAAAGTTTCAAGAAACTATTCTTCCTTCTGAATAATATTTGCAACTCAACGATTTTTTATATAGTTTTATTTATCATAGTTTTCGATTAATAATACTAAATATTATATTTCATCATTCATTGTGTTTATTAATATTTACCATAAAATACCCAATTTTTTTTGTTAAACTAATGGAAAATAAATATATTATATTATTAAATATAAATCTAAAAACAAAAATATTTTTAAGTAAAAAAAAAAAGCAAGAATATCACGTGCGTAGCACATGCATCTTCCTAGTTAGAGCAAAAACGAGCAAGTTTATTAAAGTGAAAATATAAAAGTAAATATCTTGCCTTACATCACTTCCTTTGCGGAAGATGCGGATAGATGGATACCCTTGTATGTGATTCCTGCACATTTATTGTCAAAGAATGTCGATTAAGGAACAAAGAGATAAAGGAAAGAAACGTGGGTGGTTTAGAAACATAAACAGAAAGACTTCTCCTGAAGTTTAAAGGATCTGCATATAAAGAGTACCATGAAACCATAAATGCCTACAATAAATACAACATGCTAAGAAACCAACATCATATGGTATTATTGTGACACATAAGAATAGTGTTAGAAGTTGTGTTTGTCCCACATCGAGTAGTTACTGGGTTGCTATTGTGTAAGTGAGGGTTGGGCAGCCTCTCACTTTGAGCTAGCTTTTGGGGATGAGTTTTACCCAAGCCCATTTATCATGGTATCAGAGCACCCATGTTTTGTTTGTGTGGGGGCAATATAAGGTTTGGACCCAGCTGGCACGCTGCGCGTAATGGCGGGTGTTAGAAATTATGTTTCTCCCACTCGATTAGTTAATAGGTTATTATAGTGTATAACAGTGGGTTGGCCACCCTCTCCCTTTGAGGTAGCTTTTGCACACTAGTTCTACCCAAGCCCATTTATCAAATTGAGAAGGCATTAAACTATACAAACTGTAACCTTACGTGTCAAGAACAAGAACCCCAACCCCCACGGATTCTAACTACACGTCATGGAATCCTGAGCTCAAATTAATATGTTCAGCCAGTCCATGTAATTTCAGAGCATGGAAGAGTTCAGCTTACTACACCTTTTCATCACTTTTATGAAGGTTCTAATGTTATTTTCAAAACAACTGAGTGTACGACTATTCTTGTTCTTTGCAGACCTCAAGTTCTACTCTTCACCAAACAGAATCTGATATTATTAAAATATCCCCAAACTCGCCTACAACATGAGATCAAAATGGGGCACACCTGTATAAACAACCAAGGGTGCTTAAATGCATTTCTCCTGCCATTTAGTTAAAGAGATAATCCACTTAAAGAAAAGACAAATGTCAATGTGCATGAAATATCAAATATTTACAGAAACTCATGCTGATTGACATAACGTCTTGATTATCATTAGTGAAAAACAATATATGAGGTGAAGTGAAACCTTTATCTTGACAGTACCTTCTACACAAATCTACTTCTTCAGTGCAATCAACCTTCCCCATTAGAATACGCCCATCAATCTCCGGATCATACCTGAAAGAAAAAAGTTGATAAGGTTGTGGGGGGATTAATATGATATCAATGCTGGTGACTACAATTTAAAATGATGAAATTCAGCCACTTCAATTTTAGCATCAAATTTAAAAGACAAGAGACGACACCTTTCTCTGATGATGTTGGCTGCTTTCTCCCATGAAGGTTTCTGAAGTGAACAAAGAGGGAAACAAGGTGTTAACGTAATCTATAGCCATTCATCAGTATCTCACTTAATCATGGACAGAAAAATTTAAATATATGCTGGTTAAGAAGCATGTCAGGTCTAGAAAAGAGAACAAATAAATAAATAATAAAATTGGGTATACCAGGCGGTTGCTCCAATAGCACCAAGGGGCAAAGAAATTTACTACCAAAATGGGATGCCTGTCAAAGAAAATTGCGAGAATACCAATACATTAATCAGTAAACATCACCACGCAGATTTAATGCAAAATGCAACAGATATAGATAGGGCTGAGAACCGTTCAGTAAACCGATACCTTATTGACCTAACCGAATCAAAATGTTACGTATTAGCATATCTCAAACCGATGCAGAACCGTTTCTCAATCGCTCACTGACTTCCAGTAACCAATAATTTGGTTCACTTTCGGCTCATTATTTGGAATTACAAAAAATCGAAGAGAAAGGAGAGGTGAAAAGGCATTAGGAAAAAAAATCTCAACTCTGGTTTTCAAATAGAGCAAAAGTTGTAAATTTTGAGTTCAAACGAAAAACTACATAACAAGCAGGGAAAAGAAAAAAAATATTAGGTGGGATTTGTAATTTTTGCTATAATTCATCACAAGCAGAGCAAAAGGCAGTAAATATTTGTTGCTTTGTATATTTGATGTGAGGAGAGAGTTTTGGTGTGCCGAAAGAGAAGTGTGAATGGAAATGAAATGAGGGAATCCTCCTTTTCTTGGCCTATATTATAAAATCTGTTTTATTTTTTTATTTTTATTTTTTTAAGTTCAGTTAGGTATTACCGAATTGTTACAAATTCAAAACCACAGCCGTACCATCAGTTGGCTAAGCCACAGGAGGTCGGTTACAAAAACAGGAGTCGGTTTGGTATGAATTAACTACATAACACTTACCTGTGTGATATTCTATCAAAATTGTTCCCAGTGAGTACAACAGATCCTTCATTATACTCTTCGTCGGATTCATCATCGTGCTTAATTGCTTTAGCAACAGGTCCTGATTGAAACTCAGAACCAGTAGGATTTAAATTTGAATCTATTGAGTATTTGCGGACCGTCTTAGTTATATTCAATCTATTCTGAAGAAAAGAGACACGGTTAAGTCATAAAAATTGGGAGCATAAAACCATAAATTGATAATGCAATTTGGAATAATAGAAATTAATGAACATGAAGCTAAGTTATATGCTTAATCAATCAAATAGAGTTCAATAAATTAAGAACTTTATGCCAACAAGATTTTACATATCATTCTCTGAAAAAACAAACATCATAACTACAGGCTCAAATAAATACATTAATAAATAAATAGCAATAATCATCGCCAAAATATAAAAACCAATGGTGTTAGTTGTAAGAACTTCTTTATCAGTCATTTGGACTTGATGAGCGCTGAAGTGAAATTCACATAAATTATCTCCTTCCCCAAGTAAAAAAATTCATGTGACACCCCACTAGTTCATCTTGATGTTAGGAATAACATTTCTGTAGCTTACAACCCAGTTACCTTTCCCCACCTTCATATGAAACTATACATATATGAATGAACTAAAACCAACTCTCAGGAGCTAAGTTAAAAACAAAAATATTATTTTATGTGCCTGAATGATGGGTGATAAACAATTAAACTGAAGCTACCATAATTATACACTATATAACTTCTTAATTTGATATGGCGACCTTTCATGCATAACATCGTGACGTATAACAACCAGAGTCCGGAGTCATAAACCAGCATTAAACCAACAAGATCAACAACGCTGAAGTATTTGAAGCTATTCTTTCACTTATGACTGAATGGAGATATAACTGAATTAACAACTACCAACCGACTAAAACAAGTCAACCGAAAGACTTGCTGTAACTTCTAAAAAGTAATCTGTTATTCGAGATATATTGTTTAAGAAAACAATTAATAGAACTTACTGTTCCCAAGACATCGCTGACATCGACAGAAGCAAATTCACAAGACAGTGTAGGAAAACTGTTAAAGAAAATTGAAGGAGCCATTAATAGAGATGGTAAAAGAAATCTTGATTCTTGCATACATAATGCAAAGTGGAGAGAGAAAATATGTCCGCGAAATGCAAGCAAACAAGCAGATATTAGAAGATATACTTTAAAGCTTCTAAAGATCATGAGAAGATAATATCATTTAAGTCAAACTATCAACCAAACAGAGTTGTACATTAACCAATGCAAAGTATAGGATGATGTTAACTCACGAATATTTCAGATAACAAAAATTTATTATTTTTCTTTTGACAAATATGTCCTAGAAGGATACTTGAAACTAAAATAAAAGGAAACAAGTTAAAAATGAGAAATATATGGATTACATGGCTATACAGCATACATAGAAGAATTTAGCTATAAAAGAAGACTACATTGATGGTAGTCATGTATACATTGCCTGCCTTGAAAAAAATAAAATAAATAAATAAAAACTAATTTGAAGTCCTCCATAGTTCAACTTCAGTTCTAAAATAGTTGTAAAGGGGTCAATTGGCTCCCAGGTTTTACGTCTGTGGACTAAAGAACTAAATGCTGAAAATGGTAGTTGCCATGGCAGATTATTATAGACCATTCTATTATATTATTATATTATCTAGAATAAACTAGTGGGCTTGAGGCACATAGAGATAAGGTGCCCATTAGGATTATTTTGTTAGGGCTAGTATTATATTCAAGTGAATTCTTACTCTTTAGTAGGGCATGAAAGATTTTATAATTTAGCTTGGGGGAGATTACTTCCTTAGTTTGAAAAACATTTTGTTCTTTTCTTTACTTTTCTACATACTAGTACAGAGCCCGTGCGATGCACGGGGTGCACAATTTTAAGGTCATTTATCCATTCTCATAATTTTATAAATGAATAAAAAAATGTACGGGATATATATAGTACGTGACCTGTAATAGGCCAAAATGTGAACACGGGTGATGCACGAGGTGCACAATTTTAAGGTCATTTATTAGTGCATACCCCGTGCGATGCACGTGATACATATAATAAATCAATTATTTTTATAAGACTTGTACGTCTAGACAAAAAAATAATAGGCTTGGATCATCCATATTTCACATCTTTTAATAAGTGGCGTTTATTTAAGCCAAAAAATTAACATGTTAATTAATATATAATTCCGCTAACACGTCATACTAATATTTATTTGATTTTAGAATACATATTTATTCATTGATATAGGAAAAAATAAAAATTTTATTAATTATTGTTCACCATATAATACTCAATTATTATTTTATTATAAAATTTACAGTCATATAATGTAATTATTATTATTTATAAAAGTTATAGATGTAGACTTCTTTATGTAATGAAATTCAAAATAAAATTTTGGGTATAAATATTTACAATATACACACACATGTTTTTTAGAATTCAATTTTCTCATAATAATTCTTTTTTAAAAAAAAATGATTTAGCAATTGCCAAAAAATAAATCCCTTACATAATCAAGAGATTTTTTTTTTTAATTTTCATTTTAAGGCTTTATAGTTTATTTAACATACTATGCAATAGAAAAATATTTTACAATAAGTTCATTTTTGAAACATAACAAAAAAAAGTGATAAAAACACTATCATAGTTGACAATAATATACAAATAAATAACATGTCGAAATTTTAAAGAATAACGATAATTTTATTATCTAACCATCAATAAAATCATTTAATGATGTAATCATTATCTTTTAAATAATAAATAATATTAATTTTTTAAAAAAATATTAGTGTTATATAATTAAATAAAGGTTAAAAAATATTACTCGACAAATATTAATTATAATGGATATCAGTAAAATCATTGCAGAAATTATTTAAGGAAAAAATCTTAAAAATCATATTTGGATAGTAAATGTAAATATGCAAGCATTTAATCATATAGTAAAAAATTTCCAAAAAAAGTATGCATTAAATGTTTGTTGACTTTTCTTGCTACTGTTTTTGGTAAATATGTTGGCTTTTAATATATATATAGATTAACATTTCAATATTGACTCTTTACTCCTATCAATTGGTCTGACCTGGACACGACATGTTTGGTTCTAAGATTTTGAGCTTTGGGGAGAGTCAGAACGCAACTGCACACCGCCTCACTGAGCACCGTTATCACCAAACTCATAAACCTACTCACAGATTTCGCTTCAGATAAGCAGAACGGAAGAACCAGCGGGCATGACACGGACAATGATCACTCATGTTCATCTTCCCATAAACACAATTCACTGGTTAGTTTTGTTTCCTTCCAACGACATTGAGATCCTGCATTTCAACGGGACAGATCCGAATGGATGGCTAGCAGGGGCAGAACATTATTTTACCATACCATGCACCCGTGACAAATAGAAAGTGTTTGCTGTATTTTTTAGCATGGACGGTCAAGTGTTCACTAGCTTTGGTGGAGTGAACAAATTCCAAGCTTGACTTCAGACCAATTTAGGTCCGAACTTATTGATCAATTAGGTGACGATTTGATGGCACCTCCGGAGGAACAACTGGCAGCTATTCACCAAGTTCTTAAAGTCTATGAATATTACAATAAATAATGCGCACGTGATGCTCAGATACTGGGATTGTCACCTGATGTCCAATTAGAGTCGTTCCTCTACACTCTATAGTCTTGTGGCGGCTGTTTCAGTGCATCTTTGACCGAATGATGTGGTAATTTGCATACAGCCATTATTGTCACCAACTCTACTAAACAGTTAAATCAATTTTCTAACCAGTGTACTATGGGAAATGGTGGACTATGGGTTTTTGGTTTGGCTGCACGCCAAACCCAGCTTCTCAAGGTTCTACATTACCTAACCATAATTTGCAAAACCAACTACAAATGGTTGCCAATATTTCTACGATCCAACCTACTATGTTGTTAAAAAAGGCACCCACCATTATTCCCATCAAGAGTACTATGATCGACGAGCAAAAAGGCTTTAATTTTGATGCGTAGAACTGTATATCCCAATGCATTCCTGCCCCCAACAAATCCATTAAAGCCTTGATTGCTGCTGAGGATGATACATACTGAGGTCGTCAGTAAAAAACAACATTGGATCAAATTTGCTGCCGGCTAGATTATGCACTACATAATTCTGCCACCCTTAAAGACAAGGGTAACTTGAAAGGGGGAGATTTGTTACAGACCATAATATTAAATTATCTAGAATAAATTTGTGGGCTTCAGTCCCATTGGGTTAATGTGCCCATATGGTTATTATTCTATTTAAGTGAGTACTTAATCTTTCGTATAGGGCATGAGATTTTTATTATTTCTTTGCTTTATTTTTCTACATAAAAAAATAGTTCTTTAAATTGAGCCTTCATTCCTGTCACAAAAAGTTAAAATCGTACCAAAAGTATGATAACAATTCCCCTAGGCCCTAGGCCCTGAACAAGTTTCAAAACCTTCCTGAGTAATTCTGGCTAAGTACCTTGAGGCTACGTTTGAAATCCCTTGATTTCAAAAGTTTTGAAATATAATTTTTTTTACTTGCACACTCTTTGAATGGATGTGTTGAAAATATTATAAACAATTGTCTAACTCGCACCAATGGTGTTGACGTGATGTGGTGATGAACCTAAATGATCGCGGACAGCGTGGTCGTCAACGGTGATAAACAGTTGATTTCAAATGACTAGGTTTGAGGAGTCATTTAAAATCCTTCAAAATAATGACTAAAAAATATCTAGCATGAATTTGAAATCCTCCAACTTCCATTACCATACCAACATACATGGGAATTTGAACTTGTAAATTTAAAATTTTAGATTTCAAATCCCTCAATAAATCTTTCAATCCACACGTAGTCTGAGGCACGTAGTCTGAGGTCATTATGAATCGTAAAGGAAAATCATACACCAACCCCAGACAAAAAAAGTAACAGGAATAATATGTGATGCAAACTTGCCTCATACTGAAATCAATTCGTAAAAAGTCCCCATCAGAACTCTTATCAACAACAACAGATGTAGAGGAGCTCACTGTCAAATAATCATTCAGTTCCTGCATATCACAATAAATTAATAAGGCAGAGATGATGCATTTTCTGAGTAATGTTGCCAAATGTGCAACCTTATTAGCATTTTTAATTAGTTAACGTAAACAAGATAACAAAATCTTCTGAATAAAAATAAACCAATAATTATCGAAAAATCTTTTCCAATATCTGCTTGGGCAGAATTACTTAATCGTCACCATTGAAGATTAGCGTCTTACCATTCCAAACAAGAAGACCATCGAAAAAGCGGCTATAACTGACAATCCAGCACCTGATAGTGATGCCTCGGTCAAGTCCCTGGGAATTTTCCTGCAATGGAGAGTAAGGGGTTGGGAGAAAGAGGGGTATTAGATCATATCAAGAGACAGGTGGACGGCAAACCTATTATCATACAGTCTTCAATAGAACGTTTTAAATATAGTATTACACAAAATAATCATTTTCCTGAATTCCCACTAAACTAAGATTTAAAACTGTGACTTTTACTCGCGCTCTTTCATCTATAGGTCAATATCGTCTTAAACAAAAGTGAATTTTATATTTTACGAACAGATCACAAATAGGAAAGCATGGTTAAAAATGCAGGGATAGAAATACTTCCATCTCTTAACTTTTCTTCAGTAGAACTAATATTTCACTATGAGCTAAAAATATAAAAAAAAAATATATATATATCATTGCAAATGCAATTTTCTAACCGGAGACATAACAGGCAAAGGAGCATGCACCACAAAAAATTATCATCTTAAAATGATTCATGGGATACTGCATAGATGCATTCTCCAGACATGTTTTGCAAGCCCAAAAACCAAAAAAGAATGTCCTACTGTGTAACTAGCACCACTCGGCCCAGGTCAAATATCATGTAGGTTGATGAATCTAGTGAGGTCTTCAATGCATAACTACAATCATATAAAGATCCAACTGATACAACACGAGTACCAGCTTTTTTCAATAGCAAACCAACTGCACCAATTCATCGGCACACATAGCACATTACATAGATTCAACGCATAATTTTGCACACTGAAAACTGAAGCTCTTTTGATCTTTCATTAACAACAAAACCCAGAAAGGGCTGATGATTTCGTTTTAATCAGATAAATATTTCACAGAACGGCTCTGTAATATTCCAACAGAATAATGTTCCACAAAGGTTATAAAATTCACCAAACAAGAATCCAAAGAAGTGCAGAATAAAAATAAAATGTAATCCAACTAACAACAATAATTAAAAATGAAGGATGAAAAATGTCAGCTACCTGTAAAAATCCACCGATTTAATTTTACTAGTCGAGACCATGGTGAATCAATCAGTCGTCAACCTCCAAGGAAATCAACCAACAAAAATAAAAAGAGGCCAAGTAATTGCGAACAGAATCGAGAATACAGATCTGTGAAAGAACGCAAAATCGAGATTTTCTTCCTTTAAGATTTTTCGACTCTCAAGCGAAAGCGAAACGCGTTCGCTTTCGTTCGAATGCGGTGAGGTTGTGACGCCGTGTGATTACGGTTTGATTGGATATTTTAAAATAGTGAAAATTTAAGTTTAAATTAATTGTAACCCGTACTTTCGCACAAAAAATTACATGAAAAAGAACAGAATAATAAAAATATGTAAAAATTATAAAATAATCATTAGAAAAAACGTTTTAAAACACAAAATCTAATATTATCTAATATTATTAAATAATTTTTTATATTCAATTTTTCTTATTGTTATAATCTCTATTATCACAAATCATAATTCAAACTCCTTCACTGGTGGCTCTGGATAGTGTTACATATAATTGTTCATGACTGAATAACTCGAATATAAAAGTGAAGTAACATAAAAAATGAGAAAATAACCTCCTCCACCATCTAACATTTTTTTAAGGACATCAATATGACATTAAGTTTTAAATTTCATAAATATAAAAATTAATTTTTATTTTTCCTTGTCTCTTTTTTTCTCCCCCTTTCTTAATGTCTCATACTTAGTCCCTTTTTTAAATTTCTCATGTCTTTCTTCTATTCTTCAGTTCCAATACGAACACGAGCACCCTCTGGAGGTAGCGGCTGAAAGAGCCCTATTGACGGCAAAACCCCTAAATTTCATCACAAATCAATTATCCAGCGGTATATACCCGACAAATTTATAGCGGTGATGGTAGCTCGGAGATGGAGCCCATGAACATCGATATCGCCACAGGCTCGCTCAATTGCTTGGTCATTTTCTATGTCGTCACTAACGTCCTCGGCTTCATCAGATTTTTCCACAGCTCGGAGATGGAGCATATTTTATCAGTTTTTTCCATCAGCACCAAAGAGACTTCCATCAGCTCACACATGGTAAATCTATCACATACTGAATATTACCAGTGTGGTACTCGTGCGATGCACGAGCTATTTTTATTAAGGTAAGTATTTTGATTTGGATGATGGGAATAAAACAAAATGTCACTTATATATTATTAAACATATTATTGTACACAACATTGTTTGTTTGGTCTTTTGGTACATAGTCTATAGCCACAAATTATATTAGGATTCTAGATAAGATTAAATAAATCAATTAATTGGGATAAATTTATCTGCAATCCGATTTTTTTTAATAAAAATGATTCGTTGCAATTAGGTAAAGATACATATTATAGTACTTTGTCTAATTTAAAATCACCAATTTAAAAAAAATAATAATAAAAAATGAGAGAATTTTGACTTTTACAAAATTGTCATATCGAATTTTACCTAAATTAACACAATTTCTATGCAATCCTATTTTTTGTAATAAAAAATTGATCTGCAATTATGAAAAGATATATGTGATAGTATTTTGCCTAATTCAAAATTTTCGATCTTATGGTAAACAATTTTTTTTAATAAAAAAATGATAAAGAATTTAGACTTTTGCAAAATTAGAAATATCAGTCAAAATTTATTTAAATCCACAAAATTCATGAATTTTGGGTGCATATATAGTTGATCGATTTTTGGAATAATTTAAAAAGAAAATTAAAAAGCTGCCAACAATAGAATGAAATATATGCTAGTTGACTTTTTTTGTTACTATCTTTGGTAAATAGGTTGGCTCTTCACATATATATATA